AGAAGCCTGATTGGACTAAGACACCTCCCTTTGACACATCCAAATGGAGCTCAAAAGGTTTACAAAGGACACTGTAACAACACAAAAATAAAACAAGGCCTCATAAACGTTCTCTTTGGAGACCGAAATACAAACAATGATGATCTTAACTGAATACAGGCTTCTGAAGCAGTGCAGATGCTGAAAAATAATTCTAAAGTTGCAGCAATATCTATGTAAACAAAACAAGGTTCTAATACTCCAGCTAAAAAAACAGTCAGTTTAGAAGCAGTGCATTTTCTGAATGACTTTTCTAAAAGGCTTTGTTTACATGGGTAAAAACTGATTTTGGGGGGATGCCTGGGTGGCTCAGCAGTTGAGTGTCTGCCTTTGGCTCAGGGTGTGATGCCAGTGTCGGGGACCAAGCCCTGTATCAGGCTCCCTGAGAGGAGCCTGCTTCTCCCTCTGCCTGTGTTTCTGCCTCCCTCTCTGTGTCTCTCAGGAATAAATAAATAAAATCTTTATTAAAAAGAGAAGGAAGGAAGGAAGGAAGGAAGGAAGGAAGGAAGGAAGGAAGGAAGGAAGGAAGGAAGGGAGGAGAGGAGGAGGAGGAGGAGGAGGAGAAGAAAGAAAGAAAGAAAGAAAGAAAGAAAGAAAGAAAGAAAGGAAGGAAGGAAGGAAGGAAGAAAGAAAGAAAAATGATTTTTAATAGGCAAGAAAGATTAATAGAAATCATTTCCCTTCCACTATATAAACGCTGAATCACATTTTATGACCTTATTAATATGGATTGACCACAACTTTAGAGCATTATGGTAAATATCTGTGCATACTTTAGTGACATAAAATTGAGGAATTTTGCAATAGAACCTAGTTTAAATGGCAGTTAGTTTGGGTTTGTTTGTTTTTTGTCTGTTTGTTTGTTTTTGACTATACATCAGACAGTAATACACAGGAATACTTTTTTACTACCCATTACGATATTGCAATATTGCTCCTGGAAGATATACTGTTTTTGAAAATGAACTCATGGAGTAAATACCTCCGAGCAACTGAAACTTTAAAAAATTCCAGCTCTTCAAATGAGAAGACAGATCCATAGGTCAATATTTTCCAAACTATAGGTCACAACTTGTTTCTACATGTTGTGATGGGTCATGAAAAATTTAATGGGGGGGGGGGGGAGGGGAAACAACCAAAAAGTAAGAGTCCATCTCAAGTAGCAAAGTAAGTTTCAGTAGGTATGGAGTATGACATAAAATGTTTTCTGTGTTTTTATCAAAATCAGTTGAATCTGGAGGATGTGATGCTAAGTAATATAAGCCAAATACACAAAAGCAAATACTGTGTGATCTCACTTTTATGTAAAATCTAAAAAAAGGAGAGTTCATAGAACCAGAGAGTAGAATGGTGGTTTCCAATGGTGGGGAATATGGGAAAATGGGGGTCAAAAGGTACAAACTTTCACTGATATTGCACGGCGATTATATCTAATAAATTTTCACTGTATACTTAAAATTTGCTAAGAGAATAGATCTTAAGTGTTCTTACTATGCATGTACACACACGCACACACAAACACACAAAAGTTAAGGTGGGGTGACAGATATGTTAATTAACTTGATTGCGGTAATTATTTCACAATGCATACGTAAGTTATTATACACCTTAAAAATCACATTGCACAACCTGTACAACATGTAAATATATATATATATATATATATATATATAATTTAAATTTGTCAATTCTACCTCAAAACATCTGGAAAAACAAATTTAAAATAATAATAATAATTTTAAAAACACAGTTCTAGGCCCACCTTCTTCAGGGCTCTGATACGAATGTTAAAATAGTATGCTCAAGTGAACACATCTTATCCATCTGATCCTTTTAGCACTGCCCCCCCCTTTTTACTACTTATTCCTAGTCAAAGGAAATGCATAAATCTGTATTCACCACTCACTAACTGTGGTTCTAAGTAGAAATAAATATAGTGAAATCTTTTATAAAAGTCGATGTTGCAACTTGGAAAATATTTTCACAGAGAGATAACCTGCTCTGCAAAGTCAAGGTTACTCAGAGTTTGACTGAATTTTAGAAGTTGAGTCCACTGCCAAAACTAATGAGACCTGGAATCCATCACAAGGTAGAAGGAAAAATACAAGGAGGGCGAAAAATATATTGAATACTAACCTACAGGATTTAGTTTGAATTTATCATCAAAGAACAATGTTGTCCAAGACAAAATAAAAAGGCTTTTGAACCTTAAATTAGCTTCGTCTTGCACCACAGAACTTATTCACTAAAAGCAAAACCCAGTTACTGGTATGTACTAAGAGACGGTACCTGAGTGTCTCTGTAATGACTTCTCGATGCACTACTCTAAAGTGTCTGTGTGTGCACATGCGCACACACAGTAATGCTATCAGTGACTGCTTTCCTCTTCTAAATTTTCCGTATCTTCCACATTTTCACAACCAAGCAATTTTAAAAATAAAGTAAAAAAAAAAAAAAAAAAGGATTGACATTCTTCAATGTTCATGCTCCTGATAAGAATAAGGTAGATATAATATGGAGCTGTTTCCTTTAGTTAAAGCAAACATCAGTGCCCTGGCTTAACTTATCTTTCCAAATTACTTTCTCAGTGTTGTTACTTACACTAACTTACTCATACATTTGATTGAATTTGGTAAAGTAGGTTAAATACAGATGAAAACTGCCTTCTATGGACTCCATATGTGTTTATAGGATGGATGAATGTAGTCATATGTTGGATTCCTTTGTTCTTTCTTTCCTATATTTTTAATAAACACAGTTTAAATGAGTATAAGATATAACTTTAAAAATGTATGTGCATCTATATTTACTTACAATCTTTCTTTTTTCTTTTTTATTTATTTGTATTTGTATTTTTTTTTTTTACTTACAATCTTTCTGAAACTTGAGCAAGGATAACTGATACAATCTTGGTTTCCACTATGTGTATAGGAAAAATAAATATTTGGAACAGTAAGATGTTTTTAAGAGCAAAGTGACTGAAATGTCTAACTTCCCCATCAGTTTTTCTTCATTTGCACAGACTCTTGGCTAAATTCATAAAAATTTCTAGAGTTCAGTTTTATCATATTTAAGCAAACCTATTAAGGTAAATTAGTTGCTACATATTGGATTCTTCTTTGTTCTCTTTATTTTTTCATAAACATGGCTTTGGTTTAAATTAGATGAAAGTATCTTAGAATCCTAAAGTAGACCAACTTAAATTAGGAAATGTCTATTGATCTCTAGATTTAAGATCCTATTATTTCAATTACAATGGTTCCTGTTATATGGAAAACCACCAGGGATTTGGGTTTATTCATTTAATGCCAAGAGGGAGCAAGGTTTCATCCTTATATTTTCATGTTTTTAGTCATCAGAAAAGAATCGTTAATCATAATAAAATCTAATGGGATATTCTTCAACTGTGGTAAATATTTGTATGTGTATTTGTTTTATGTGTTATTCTGGTCTCTCCAGGTATTTTCTATTTGCTCTAAATTTCCCCAGGTGAATTTATACTGGGAAGTAGGGATAAAATATGGTTGATCAATCATTTTGACTCCAGACATTCAGAGGAAAGCAAAACTAACAAAGCAAAAACAGAAAAAGTAAATATCTAGGTATTTCGCAATAGCTTTTGATTTCAATAATTCAGACACACCTCTGACATAATGGTCCCTATATCTTCCTTAAATCCTTCCAAGCAATAGGCTGTATGGCCGTGCCCTACAGAAACGTAAAGTCAATTTTATGAAAAGACACATATGTCCTCCAGCAGGAAATATTCTGTTAGTGAACACTAGTTTAAATGGCCACTGTGTTAACTTCACAAACATTCCTGGAGCGCCCCTAATATAACAGGTGCTGTTCTATATGCTAGAACAGAAGAACAGACATAGCCTCTGCCCTCGGAGAGCTGATAGCCCACAGGGAAACGAAATGGACACAAACAATATAACATGTTAGAAACCAAGGCAGGTGTATACATATGGTGTCACGAGTGAACACAGAGTATTTCAACATCAGAGCCAGCAGTCATGCAGTTGAGCATTTTGTCGTGAACTTCCTTTCTCAGTGTCTGGTACCTCTGTACTAGCTGCTCAGTCAATGTTACTTATTTCTGTCTTCTATTCCCAAGTAGTTCTCCACAAAATAAAAACAACTACTGCAGGGAACACCTAGAGAAATTTAATGAAAACTTTTGCTATTTATCAGTCCCCCATCATGACAAATTTTTCTTTGCTTGCAACATCTCACTTTGCAATCCCAGCTTTCTTGGTAGCGTATTAATCAAAGACTATCCCAAGGTTGCTAAGTTTGTTCAAGGAACACATTAGTACCGAAGCCTTGGTTTATCATACCACTGAGAGGTCAATTTAAAAAATTACCCTGCTAAGCCGAGACAGTCTTCCCTCAGTTGATACATACATCTTGTCATTCCTCTTTGTACTCACCCCTTGTTCTTGTTGTTTTTCCTGAAAATTTTCATAAATTTAGCAAGATCACTTGGAGGTTTTGACTCAAGCAGGTGAATATATCTTTAAAGTCATAATTAAATTACTATATACTTGCTACTAATAGTAAAAGGTATGTGAATGTCCATGAAGTCAAATAATACCAGGCACTCTCATGTCAGGAAAATAGACATTCTTTGTCTTGAAACATAAAATATCCACTTAGAATAATGTCCATTGCCCTATTAATGGGAACTACCATGTATTAGGAACAATTTTGTCGCTCTGAGACAGGTTCAGCCAACTTTCCTCCTTGCCCACCCCTCACTCCCGAGCAAGCTTCCAAGGTTCTATGATTCAACCAGCATTCTGGGCGGCCAAGTAAGAATCTCACAAGTCTGAATCCAAACATAACCACAGCATGCAAAGCTGGCAAGACAAAGTGAAACAAAACAAAAGCAAGGCTAGCTGTGGAAATGACAACAGCAGTTTCAGGAAGAAAAAGAGCAAAGTGACAGCACTAACCTGAGGAAATATCTATTTGGCTCATCTTGGTCTGAGTGATGTTGATGTGAACACCGACTTTGCTTTCAGTGAGGTCAATCTCCACATTGCCCAAATTCTCTGCAAACTGACTGAAAAGCAGGAGGCCGTTTGGGTTCCAAGTCCTGAACTGGAAACTGACCGAAAACAGGTCCTGGTTAAGCCGTCCTGGCACCTCCAGGTAACTGGTAGCATTGAAAAAGACAGGCACGGTGTAGGGCTCCACACATGAGAAACTCAAATTTCCCTGTAAAAAAAAAAAAAAAATGGTGTGTGTGCTTTAAGACAAGTACAATCAGAGCTGCAGCTCTATGAATGTTAAAGTAGTCCCTGAGCTCATGCCAAACTCTCACATGCAGGAGCACGATTTGGGTTCAGCAACCAGATACCAAGCATCATTCTCCTTGGAGTGTATGTCTAACAGGGTTCAGCAGCTGGTTGTCAGGATGACAGATCTAACCAGAACCATCTATCATGGATCAACAGACAGTCTGATGGGATGAAATGTGTCCCTGTGTTGGGGGCATGAGTGTGGGCCACTGGACTTTCTAAAAAGGGCAGAAAGCTGCTGCTCCCTCCCCTATTACTGATGTTGCATCAGCCAAGGAGGAGATACCCGTCCTTTTCTGGATGGCCTGTGTCAAGTGTTTGTTCGTTTATTACTAGTTCCAGTAGGAATTATAGTCATTTGGTTGTTATGTATTATTTGATGTTATGGGACAAATATTCTTGGTTTTTAATCCCATACCTAATATATATGAATTAATATTCACTATACAGCATCAGCATAACTGTGATTTCAGATTATTTTGTGTTAATAGTAACGATAATACAATTATTTGTATTAACTAAAGTACTCCTTGGTCTTACACTCCCTCTACTTCGTACGAAGAAATTTGATTTGCCATTCACATACACTAAATGTTGCATTCTGGTGTTTAAGTCCTTTCCCTTTTAAAGGTCTGAAAATCGAGAGGCAGGGACAGATGGTGGGGAGTAAGGTCCCCAAGTCACCTGTCCCCACTAGCTCACCTAGGTAACTTGCAAACCAGCCTAAACACCTATGAATTCGACCTGAGATTTAAAGAAATAATAGCTGGAAGGCTACAGAGAGAAGGGTTTGCACTTCTAACAAGGTAGGAAGATGGAGAATAAATAAATAAGACTTTGGCTTCTAACAAGGTAGGGAGATGGAAAATAAATAAACAAGAAAGAATCCATTGAGAGAGGGGCCCCTGCGAGGAGCCAGGCTAAGGGGGGAGGCGAGAACCCTTGGGACAGGAAATCGCAGCCCCGGAGATGCAGGAACTTTAAAAATCCACCCCAGATTCTTCCCAGATGGAAAGACGCTTAGCAGGGAGCTCGGGCAGGATCCCAGGAGGGGCAGTGGAGCCCCCAGGTTCCCGGGGTCACTAACAGAGGAGGTGCACCCAGGGGAGAGTGCGCCACACCTCGTGGCCAAGCTCTCTAAGAGGGTGGGGTGCCCCGGGAGCAGCTCGGGCTGTGCAGGCTCTGGAGCCCAGGGCACCGGGGGACACAGCCCAGGATCCAGTGCTCCCCTTGGGACAGGTGGAGGCCGGGAAGGCCCAGGACAGCAAGGATGCTCCTGCCTCCGGGGGCCCCCAACTGTGCAGGTCAGTGCTCCTGCCCCCGGAGCATCCAGGCCCCTGCGGACTGAGAGCTGCGGTAGTTACTGCGGGAGCTGACTCCAGGGCTGGACAGCTGGCGGCCACCAGTGTGGTTGTCCCTCCTGGTATCACCTTGTACGTGGGACTGAGCAGGGACCTCACAGGATAAACAGCTCCCATGAGCTGTGCACCTGACAGGGGGCGGGACAGCTCCTCCAGGTGCACACACCTGAGAGGACCAAGCAGCGCTGGAAGCTCCAGGACCGAGAGGAAATCGAGGGAATATAGTATATAGAACTAAAGGGTGCCCCTCTTTTTAAATTTTTTCTTCCTTTTTCCATTACAACTCCTTTTTCTATCAGACTAAAAATTTCCAATATTTTTTCTCTTTTCCCACCTTAACTACAATATTTTATAGCTCTTTATTTTTAAGGTTTTTCCTTTTTGAGTTTCATATTTCTACAATTACTTGTCTTAGATATATTTTTCACTTCTGGATTCCCTTCAATGTATTCAATTTAATTTTCGGAGATATACGAGATTGGGGTTTTTGTTTGGTGTTTTTGTTTCTCTGCCTCATTTTGTTCTGCAAGGGCGGGAGTTAATACCTTCTAAAACATGACCAGCATGGACCCAGACCCAAGTGGCATGCCATGCTGGTTCATTCTGTGAGATTATATTCTCTCTTCCTTCCCATTCTGCCCCCCTCTTTTATCTTGTTTATGTTAGGTGGTCAATGTTGGGGCTTTCAAAAATATTGCTAGTTTATATAAGTTTGGGATTGAGCATTTTCAAACATACAGAACTTAATACACTCAGAAGCAAGAGAATCACCCTGAGGACCCTCAGGTAGACTACATTCTCCTCCACTCCCATGTCTTTACCAGCACCATCTCCCAGTTACTCAACCCCACTTTTTTTTTTCTTTTTTCTCTTTTCTGCTTTACTTTTTTTTTTTCTTTTTTCTTCTTCTTTGGGGTTTTATTTATTTATTTATTTATTTATTTGGGGGGGGTTAATTTAAAAAAAAATACTACTTTGTTTTAAAATCTGTTTCTCACTCTAGTGGTCCTTTTGTTTTATTTTGTTCTTCTTTTTCATTGATTGGTCTCTGACCTTGTCGGAATCACCTACGGTGGATTTTATTTAGGTCGTGATTGATATTTTTGACTCAGCCTGCTCATACAGCCACTCTGCACTGGACAGAATAACTAGAAAAAGAATTCACCACAAAAGAAAGAATCAGAAATAGTGCTCTCTGCCACAGAGTTACACAATATGGATTTCAATTCCACGTCAGAAAGCCAATTCAGAAGCACAATTATAAAGCTACTGGTGGCTCTAAAAAAAAAAGCATAAAGGACTCTAGAGACTTTGTTACTGCAGAATTGAGATGTAATCAGGCCAAAATTAAAAATAAAGGAGATGCAATCCAAACTGGATGTCCTAAAGACACGGAATAATGAGGTGGAAGAAACAGTGAGCAACATAGAAGACAAGTTGATGGTAAGGAAGGAAGCTTAGGAAAAAAGAGAAAAGCAATTAAGAGACCATGAGGAAAGGCTAAGGGAAATAAATGACAGCCTCGGAAGAAATAATTTATGTATAATTGGGGTTACATAAGACGCTGAGTGGGAGAGAGAGCCACAAAGTATATTTAAACAATTCATAGCTGAGAACGTCCCTAATTTGGAGAGGGAAACAGGCATTCAGATCCAGGAAATAGAGGGGTCCCCCCAACAATCAATAAAAACTGTTCAACACCTTGACATTTAATAGTGAAACTTGCAAATTTCACAGATAAAGATAAAATCCTTAAAGCAGTGAGAGACAAGAGATTCTTAATTTATATAGGGAGAAATATTAGATTAATAGCAGACCTCTCCACAGAGACCTGGCAGGTCAGAAAGGGTTGGCAGGATATATTCAGGGTCCTAAATGAGAAGAACATGCAGCCAAAATACTTTATCCAGCAAGGCTCTCATTCAGAATAGAAGGAGAGATAAAGGGCTTCCAAGATGGGCAGAAACTGAAAGAATATGTGACCACAAAGCCAGCTCTGCAAGAAATATTAAGGGGGACCCTATAAAAAAAGAGGAAGCCCGCAGAAATAATCCACAAAAACAAGGACTGAATAGATATTATGATGACATTGAATTCATATCTTTCAATAGTTACTCTGAACGTGAATGGGCTAAATGATCCCATCAAAAGATGCAAGGTATTGGACCCATCTATTTGCTGTCTACAAGAGACTCATTCTGGATCTAAGGACACCTACGGCCTGAAAATAAAAGATTGGAGAACCATTTACCATTCAAATGGTCCTCAAAAGAAAACTGGGGTAGCAATCCTCATATCAGATAAAGTATCCCAAAGACCGTAGTAAGAGATGAAGAAGGACACTATATCATACTTAAAGGGTCTACCCAACAAGAAGACCTAACAATCATGAATATTTATGCTCCTAATGTGGGATCTGCTAAGCATAAAATCAATTAATAACCAAAGTAAGGAGATATTTAGATAATAATACACTAATACTGGGAGACTTCAACACGGCACTTTCTGTAAATGACAGATTTTCTAAGTACAACATCACCAAAGAAACAAAAGCCTTAAATGATACACTGGAAAAGACGGATTTCACAGATATATACAGAACTTTCCATCCAAATGCAACTAAATACACATTCTTCTCAAGTGCACATGGAACATTCTCCAGAATAGACTGCATACTGGGTCACAAATCAGGTCTCAACTGATAACAAAAGATTGGGATTGTCCTCTGAATATTTTCAATCCACAGTACTTTTAAGCTAGAACTTAATCACAAGAAGAAATTTGGAAAAAAACTCAAACACATGGGGGTTAAAGAGCATCCTCCAAAGACGAATGGGTAAACCAGGAAATTAGAGAAGAATTAAAAGGATTCATGGAAACTAATTAAAATGAAGACACAACCATTCAAAATCTTTGGGATACAGCAAAAGCAGTCTTAAGAGGGAAATACATTTCAATACATGCCTCCCCCCAAAATTGGAAAAAAAAAAAAAAAAAACAAACTCAAATGCACAAGCTAACCTTGCACCTAAAGGAATTGGAGAAAGAAGAGCAATTAAAACCTACACCAGGCAGCAAAAGGGAGATAATAAAGATTCAAGCAGAACTCAATGGAATACAGACCAGAAGAACTGTAGAACAGATCAACAAAACTAGTTGTTCTTTGAAAGAATTAATAAGATAGATAAACCACTCGCCAGACTTATTAAAAAGAAAAAAATACTCAAATTAATAAAATCATGAATGAAAGAGGAGAGATCACAACCAATACCAAGGAAATACAAAGGATTTTAAAAACGTATTATAAGCAGCTATATGCCAATAAATTAGGCAACCTAGAAGAAATGGATGCATGTCTGGAAAACCACAAATTACCAAAATTGGAACAGAAAGAAATAGAAAACCTGAGCAGGCCAATAGCCAGTGAGGAAATTGAAGCAGTTATCAAAAACTTCCCAACACAAAAAAGTCCAGGGCCAGATGGCTTCCCAGGGGAATTCCATCAAACATTTAAAGAAGAAATAATACCTATTCTACTAAAGCTTTTCCGAAGGAT